AGAGGAGACCAAATTTGGAAAAGAAAAGGCGAGTTCTTCTCTACTTCTCCTCTTAGAACTCATAAACTTATCACCTTGATTATCGAAATTATAATTTTATTTTATTAAATTAAATTATTATTCAGATTGGAGGAGCATATTTATTCTTTACAAAATTATAGAATTAAACATGTGAATATATGTATGCATTGTTCTGATAATTTAGATCTTGTATGTGAGGTTAGGTTAATTAAATTTTATTTTTTTAAAATTTTTATATCTTGCGTTAACCTTGTGTAGCACGATTAATTAAATTAAATGGATTTTAATTTAATTGTATATGTTCATTTATGCCCAAAATAATAAATAAATCTTTTGGAATTTTCTGAGTTTTTTTTTTAAAATTTTCTGGAATTAATTTATATTTTTAATGTTATTATAGAAATTATTTATATATACTGTTATATATAGAAATATGTTAAATTGTTTAACATATGACATTACTGGAGGCGGCTGTAGCAAATAGGGTGTGCAATCCAGTGTGGTGCGGCTTAGAGTAAGTTGGTGTAGCACTGATCTGGGCCATGGGTTAAGTTGATGAGTGATTAGAATAATCCTATGCTTCGCGGTGCATGGAGGGATGGTGTACTTGAGCATCTAGACCATTCATTAGGTCTGGTCAAAGGAGGGATTATCCAGTGTAGCGCGGCGTACCAAATCAACCAACAGCAACCAATTAGGAGCTGCCAACACGCGCCGAGAATGGCTCAGGCGCGTGAGGGCGCGTGTAGGCGCGTGGACGCGCTTGCCGGTAAGGGGAAGCGCGTGGAGGCGCGTGGGAGTAGTCTAGGGGTATGTGGCGGCGCGTGAAGGCGCGTGGGGATGCGTGTGAGGTCCTGGAAAGTTGCTTGAGACTCCGGTGAAGTTCCAGTATTTATCTTAAGCTTGTTAGGGTTAAAATTAATCATTAGAGGGTGTGTTCTTGATGTTTTGAGAGCCTCAGAGTGTTACTAAGATACCTAGTAGCATTTAGTGGTATAAATATAATTAATTAAATATTTTTGCAATGAAAGGAGGTGTATATATGTGTATATATATGTAGATATGATTTTTAAATAGTCAACGATTGTTATGGAATGTATGATACACACATATATATATATTATAAAATATATGTGTATATATATATTATGTAAGATTATTAAATATTATAAATCTTGTTTGGTATGACTTGATTCGTGTATGGTATGGTTGATTTAAAATCGTAATAGATACACGGTTATTAAATTAAGGACATGTTTATTATATGCATGTGAAGTCTATGTATAATTATACCTAGAGTTAAGTTTAAAGTTAGTACATGGTTGAATTGTAGGCATGGATGAGTTGCCAAAGGCTTTGATATACTGCCTTATTGGTTATGAATAAATTTCATATATGAGAAGCATGGTTGAATTGCTAAAAGTAAATATATTGAAGGAAGCATGGTTGAATTGCTAGTATATAAATAAATATATTTATAAATGGCATAGTTGATTTGCCGGTGCATATTTAAATCGCTATATGTGTAGATGACTAAATTACTGTTTAGGATGGAGTTAAGGTGAGTGGGGTTTACTTTATGAGAAAATTATAAAAGGGGGGGCTTAGTCTAGGGATGACTAATAATTAATTATTGGTGAGTGGTTTTGACAATTTAATGCCCTATTAACAGATAGGATTCTTGTACTATATATATAAGTATTTATATATATTGGTAGCATCGTATATTAAAGTTAAAGCTTAATTAGGGATGGTTTTGGTAAAGATGATCTGTTTATTGGTTTTCAGAGGCTTGGTAGAGAGAACTTGCTCGTAGGGTTTAACCCGCGATTTATTTTTTTCAGGTTGTTAGAAGGTCAAGTCTCAAGGTTGAGGATCCGCAGCTGGAGGACTTATCCATTCCTTCTATTTGCTTAAAAGTAGGATATTAGTTTTGTTTCAGTTGATATTAGTATTTATTTGGTTGAAATTCTAAATAGTAACTTTTGGTTAAGGGGTCCTTGAGTTACGGGATTCCCGAGTTGTAACCAGTTGGAAGTTATTAATGGATTTACTATTAATTGGATTTCTTCAGCGTTTTATTTTATTCTTTATTTCATTTTGTAATCCGTGCTTGTTTAAATACTATAATTGGTTTGATATCCCCTAATTTTGTGCGCGGACTTGATCAACCCGTGTTCCGAAATTAGGGGGTATCACATCCATCCCCATCATCTACTTCAGATTGTGAGGTTTAGCTTCCATCCCCTACAAAAGGCTTCTCACATAAATACACCATGGAATATTTCAATCCTCCCTTCATTGCCTTCCCCTGGCACCATTTAATTTAGTTTAAGCACCACATCCCAAAGCACAGCCACATTGCATGGTTGGCAATGAGAAAGAGGTGGTACACCTTAGACACAAAGCCAATGTTGAACAAGCACTATACTAATGCTTGCTACCTTTGTCTTTCAGACTGGGAGTCTTGTGACCATCAGTTTTTTAAGTATAAGTATAGTGCTGTTATTTGGGAATTTATTTAACACACAACTGGTTTCTACATCCAACCTAGCAGCTGGCATGACTTATTAACCTGGTGTAGCAGCAATTGGACACAAGGATGCTTCATCACACACAAACTTCTATTAGTTGCAGCCATTTACTTCATCTGGCAGGAGAGGAATGCAAGGGCATTCAGGAACACCTGCTCATCAACATATATGCCACATTATATCCCTTATCAAGAGTACAATTCAAGCTAGGTTTGCCTCTACCATGTTGAAAACTGGTAATGAGCTAAGGAAGATGGACTCTTTGGCAGATCTCCATCAACTACTTTTATAGGGTTGCTCCTTTGCAGGTGGGCATTCATGGTTTATATCAGATTAACAATCACCTTCATGATGGGGATTAATGGTTCTGGAGGTCATTTTGGTCACTGGTATTGCCTACAGTGTGTTTTGGGTTGTTCATAGAAAAGTTTATGTGATAGATTACATTATAGTTTGTTGTACTGACTGTAAGATTGTGTTAGCTAACTGTGGTTGTGTTCTTGTGGATATCTTTGATGTTCCTGTGACAACTATGGTTGTCTTTGGCTGTATTGTCCATATCTGGACCTCTTGTATATTTCTTTCCTATTTATTTAAAGCTTGCCCATTTACCGAAAAAAAAAAAAACATATTTTACTTCAAAACTTAATTATACACTTTTTCTCTTCTCACAAACTCAACTCACTTTTCTCTCTTTACAATTATCTCTCTCTATACCCAAACCAATCTCTATTTATAGTTTTCAAAACCCAATTCTTTATTAGACAATAATTATACCACTTGTCCACAAGGACAAATCAATCTCAACTCAAAAATAGAAACCTATTGGAATGATTTCTCTCACAAATTTCAGTATTCCAAAACATAAAAGAAACTAATTTATGCAATTTTGAGCCATAAGTCCAACATCATGTAGGTTTTATTTGATCTCTGGAAATAATGAGATAAAAAAAATATAAAAACTAATAGAAACATTGGAGCCAATGTAGAATTGATTACAATGTTGTGCTATTTAGTAATTTTTAGAGTGAAAATCCTTTAAAACAGTAGTATAAGGAGTTAAAACTTATGAGTTTGTGAATTTACAAGCTCAAAAATACTTGATCACCAATACATAATCTGGATATATATGTGTGTGTGTGTGTGTGTGTGTGTTTGATTCTGCATTTAATTCACCTTTTCTTCACTTCTGAGACATAATACATAATCTGGAAGATAGAGCTTCCTTGTTGGCCCCGTTATGTAACCATTGCTGCATTCGAACCAAAATAGAAACATTTGTGTAAGACATGTCAATTAATACGTGACAAGCATGTATCCTAGAAGATGTGATGTCACTATGAGTCTAATTTCATTTTAAATTGTTTTGATTGAACATCAATCATTCTCACATGAGAAGAGGTCGTTATGAGTCAAATATCATCTTAAATTGTCTGATTAAACACACTAATCATCTACTACATTTTATGATTCTTTAATTTGAACTGATCACCATTGTTATCTTAGGGCAAGTGAAAATGATTTTTTGAAGGAGTAAATTAATAAGTAATGATTTAAAAATTGATCGATTTTTGTTGCAATTTGAATTAGTAGAATCCGTTAAAGATTCTTCGCTAGTAAAATTAAGAATGGATTCTATTTAAATGTTTCACTAGCTAATTGTCACGTTAATCATTAATCGGTACAAAATTATGATATTAATTTTATAATTTTATATTTATACTTGTGTATTATAGTCGACAGGTGTTATAAATGGGACTTGTCCCACATCGAATTTGAATGGGAGTTAAAGTGTGTATAAATAGGTGAATATACAACACTACCTAACAGTTTGAATTTTTGAATAAATGAGCAAGCGTTCTCTTTTTACAACAAGCCAAAAGAATTTATAAGCCTACAATTACAATCATGATGCAGCATAATTGCCCATTGAAATAAGGAAAGCCTAGCCCGCTAGCAGCCCATAGGTTGGATCAGAGGCTCCTCTTTATACGTAGGAAAAAGCTTATATAGGAAAAAACTTGTCTTGGCCGCATAAGCGGGTAATTAAAAAAGGAAGAGGATTTTTTCTCACCCGTGTGTGAGACCTGATAGTGGGCTCTCCCCCTCTTTAGCTCACTATTAATCCTCTCTTCCGCCAACCCACCTCCACTGTCTGCCATCTCCTCTATTTCCAAACCCTAATCGTTTACATCCAATCTTTAGAAATGATTCAAGTCGCCACATCCGTTACCAGCCATTTCTGTTGCAACCTAATCTCTTAAGATTGGATTATGTAACAAAAGAAGGTTGTTAAGGTTGTGGGGAATCACATGCACAATGTCTTTGATCTATATCACCCGTGAGTCAAAGTAACTCTCACGTGCCAGGAGTAGCAGATACACTCTAAGGCAGAGAGTTCACACGTTTCAACGGTTGGAAGATCTTTCTATCTTTTCTCTATAAATTCAGCTTAGACTACCCTAACCTAACAAATGACTGAACTCACATGGATTAAACCCAGTCTCTTGCCACTGTCAACCAGGTATGCTTGTATCGTCGCCTTTCGTCTTCAGTTTGCTTCTTTTCAAGCTCTTTTAGCTTTATATAAATATATATATATATATATATATATATGTAGAGAGCTGAGTTTTGATAACTATATTGGTTGTTGTTTTTTAGATGGGCTATAAGGTGATGGTTGAAGATATATATAATCAATATTTGACAATAATGAATACGTATTTTGATGGATCAACGGGTGAGTGGTTTCCTTGCTAAGCTTGTCTAGTGAGCAATCTTTTGCAGTTAACCTTTGTTTCGTTGTCTGTTCGACCTTGAACTAATTATGAATACACTACTTAATTGAAATTCCTCTAAATACTATCATCTGAAAATAACTAAAATTCGATTCGTGTTATAACCTAATCACCTTTGGTTTTGGCATCTCTCTCTCTCTCTGTGTGACCATGTTAATATTGGCGCGTGTATACACATGTAATTATGTATTAGGTATAAAGAACTGTAGGATCTCTTCCCGAAACTTTGAATTTCACTTGCTAGTGCAATGAAAAGTTATGGTGAAGTACATAAATTAACTATATAGTTAATTATAGTACCTTTTTTTTGGGATCTTCATCCTTTATTATTTTGGGTAAAATAAATGATTCAATAGATTTAACATATATAAGATTTTTAAAACTGGTGAACATAAAGATGAAGATTATTAATCAATCTTGTAGCTTAATTTTAATCAAGATTTGTGATATAATGTTTTAATCTACGTATAGACAAGTTATCGATCGTCTTCCAATAGGTTTTTTTTTTTTTTTTTTTTTTTTTTTTTTGAATGGGTAAGCTTTTATAAATGAATAAAAAAAAACTGTACAACAAAAACCATAGAGCAACAGGAACAATTACAATAATGAAAAAGGACCAAGCCAAAAGCCACTGCCACACAATGAAACAGAAATCAAATTGTAAACCTTGAGGACTTGAACTCGAGGCAAAAACGGCAACCATATACCATATGCAAAGCATCCAACTTCAACTAAGTCTTCCAATAGTTGTTGAAATGAAAAGGTGTTTCTAGTTCGTTACCCGATCATGATCAGTACGTATGATCTTTCCCCATAGCCAAAGAAGATGTGACTAGCTATATATATTGATATATATGCGTGATGAAACTTAATTTTATGGCTACGGAAAATTCTAGGTCTTGATCTAAAGATGGGGATAATGTTATCTACGGAGTGTTAGAAATGGAGGCATAGAAATAAAAAGAGAATTAGGATTAATGCAAGTACCTTACGAATATTGAACACAAGTTAATGATTCTAATTAAGATTTTCTTTTTGATAATTTTATAAGTAGGGATCATATATATGTGTGTGTGTGTGTGTGTGTGTGTGTGGCTTCATATATTATGAAGGAGCTTAGGAATCTCATGAGATACATACCAACCATACCTAGGATATTTGATGTGTTTAGAAGACAGTTAGAAAGATTTGGGTGGAAGAGGTACAACTAGTATCATATATATTATATATACATATGTATGTAACTGTTTTTCTTGGAAGGAATTATACGAAAATAAGAAGTGTTGTTGACCTCTGACAAGATTTCACAAAACTTTGCCTATTATAGAAGAGAGGAAGAAGATTTGATGTGTAAGTAGAAAGTTGGTTGATATTTATACTTCAGGGTGGACTGTGCGTGGTGTCTGTGTGTGTGTGTGTGTTGACTGTGGAGTGTGTGTGTATGTGTGTGTGTACTGGTTCTTCTTTGTGCACAATATTGCCGCTGTTTTATTATAAATGGTGAGACTGGGGCCTACTTAATTGGTGGATACCAACAGTAGACAAAAGACACCAGTACGTCGTATTAATATACAGTATACGTACGACTATAAGGCCAAAAAAGTTGGAAAGTGTCTCTAGCTTAGCTACTTAACTACCCTACCCCAGCTTCTTGTTAAATAGTAACATGGCTGATACAGCCACGTCAAATTACTTAATGACATTTGTCAATATATATGTATAGGTGTTACAAAAATTATACATATATGTGTGTGTGTATATATCTGTGTGTGTATAGTGAACTAGCTATATACTCTATAGTATATGTGTTTTTTTTTTTTTTTTTTTTTTTTTTTTTTTTTTTTTTTTTTTTGTTAAAAGGTATATAGTATATGGTTCTTAGTTCATGCAGGTTATAAAGATTTTTTTGCCAATATTTCAGAATGAGGATATTTGACATAGGAGACCATTAAACCTGCAACTCTTTTTGGTGGTGGCCTTTCCTTTTTTAGAAAAGTCAGAGAGAAAACCTTGGGACTCGCAACCCATACTTTGTGGCTTCACGTTAATGTATATAGAATTCTATTATCCAAATATACACACACACACACAGTCATCGACCTAACTTCCATTAAAGTTGTGACAGTAATAATGATTAGTTAAATGACTGTTGTACAATTTATGAAATAATATTAAGCTAATAAATAAAAATAAGAGTTTTTTTAGAGAAATGCCATTAATTTTCATTCAATACTTATATAGAATCATAGATTGAAGAAGAAGTCGCTTATTAGTAGTAATTACATGTGTGTGTGTGTGTGTGTGTGTGTGTGTGTGTATGTATACTATCATTAATTTTAAGGTAGAAATGACAACGACACTGAGGAATGACAAGCAAGGATTGCTCATTTGACGAGGCTTTGCATGGAATACAACACCCTTTCTCTGATTATATCAATCCTTTTGGATTGATGGCTTCAAAGTCCAAAGGATTATTGCTGATCTGATCATCACTGCGCAAAAGGCGAAAATGGTTTGAATGTGCATGGAGTCGATCTTCTTTTGACCTTTCATTTTCATCCTCTTTACTTTCTTTCTGTGGTAAGTTTCCTCACATTTTCAGATTCTTGAAGGTCCAAAGCCAAACATCAACATGACGGAACCAGCTAGCTCAAATGTTTACAAGAACATATATATCTGTATCTATGTATGTGTGTATATAATGCGCGCATGCATATGTATATATATACAGTGGGATAATCTAATGATTGTAGAGTTGTGTGGTTATTGGTATTGTGATTGTTATTGCTTTACCTCGGCTGCGTAGGTGTGATTTCCCCCCCCCCCCCCCCCCCCTCGTTAAAGTAGGTTTGAATTGTTCTTAATGTTACAGAAATCATTTTTTTGTTATTAATAATTACAATTATATTTATGTAAAGGATTACTCCAATTTGGAATATATTTTTTTCAATACTATTAGTGATTTGAATCCTTCTGGCAAAGCCGAATCTAATTAAATTAATTGATTGAATATTGAAGCGAAAGGATAAACAAATTGCAAAGAAATATGATATATTATTATTTTATTTATTTATTTGTTAACTTAAAAGGGTAAGCTTTGATAAATAAAAAAAGAAGTGTCACAGGAATGTACAGCCCGAAGGCAACAACAATAGATACAAATCTTATTGAATGAAAATTCTCAACTGCATTACATTCATAAAAAAAATACCTAAAAGGAGGGGAGCAAATAACAAAAAGAAAACCTAAAAAGAAGCTTAAATTACAGAAAATAGGGGATCAAACCTAATCAGCAAAAACTAATAAATACCAAAAATCATATCAATTCAAGTTTAATTCAACCACTAACAAAAATTATGAAAACGCAATTTCAGAATCATAAATGAAAGAATTTGACCAAAAAATGACTGTATATAGTGAGTAAATGTCGTGGGTATTGATTGTTGGCATGATACCAATCATGTCAAAATGGGCTGGCTCGATGAATCTGTCCCGAAAATTGTCAATTGCATCGGTTTAGCCTTCTTGCATTCTAAACGATTCTCATAACCATCGACAACCTATTCTACAACACCTTCAATATAGAGATTGAAAAAGAAAGCGGCAAAGAAAAATTCAAAATCACCTTCAATATAGAGAGGGAAATATAAAACCTTGCTGCTAGCCCTTTCTTTTAGTTGGCATGTGTATCACTTTAATTTTTAGCATGTGACCATAGTAGCGTTGTTACGATAAATATCGTGAAACATAAACAAATCAAGAAACATGATAAAAAACGCACAATACAAATAATTTATATATTTATGTAATTTTGTGTAAAGTCCATGCTCATAATGAAAATTCGGTAAAAAATTTCACTAAAAAAAATAATTAAGGTATCACGAACTAATTTTCAACCTCCAAACTCTCTCACCCAATAATATAGCGCGACCATTTAATGGGTAAGTCTTGTTGAGATTTTATTTATTATAGTACAGCTGTAGGATTGAATTATTCACTCCTTGATTTAGGGCTAGTTGGCAGATAATTAGTTACCTATTATAGCTAATCATGTTCTATAAATTGGATGTAATACTCATCAATGAATTAATCGAATATGATTTTAATTCTCGTATTCTTTCTCTGAATTTCAAGAAGTCTTTCATCAGGTTCCTTAACAATAATGAGATTAGACAATTAACAATTACAGTAATACGTGACAAGCATGTATCCTAGAAGATGTGATGTCACTATGAGTCGAATTTTATTTTAAATTGCTTCGATTGAACATTAATCATTCTCACATGAGAAGAGGTCGTTATGAGTCCAATTTCATCTTAAATTGTCTGATTAAACACACCAATCATCTATATTTTATAATTTTCTAATCTGAATTGATCGCCATTGTTATTTTGGGACAAGTGAAAATGATATTTTGAAAGAATAAATTAATAAGTAATAATTTAAAAATCGATCGATTTTTGTTGCAATTTGAATTAGTAGAATCCGTTAAAGATTCTATTTAAATGTTTCACTAACTAATTGTCACATTCATTGTTAATCGGTTCAAAATTACGATATTAATTTTATAATTTTATATTTATACTTTGCATTATAGTCGACAGGTCCAAAAGATTTCTAAGTCTCTGCAATTACAATCATGATGCAGCATAATAGCACATTGAAATAGGGTGAGCCCACCCCACTAGCAGCCCATATGTTGGATCAGAGGCTCCTCTATATGTTTATTCACACACATAATTCACAGATAGAACAGATAAAAGCAAGTACACAAGCAAACTAAGATTTACGTGATTATATGTCACTTTTTATATTTATGAATGAATATCTTTACTTCAAAACTTAATCACACATTTTTTTTCTCTTCTAATAAGCTCAACTCACTTTTCTCTCTTTACTTTATCTCTGTATATAGAATCTTGAAAACACAATTCCTTATTAGACAAGAATTATGCCACTTGTCTACAATGACAAATCAATCTGAACTCTAAACTAAAAACCTAATGGGACAATTTCTCTCACAAATTTCAGTCTTCCAAAACATAATAAATAAATAATAATAATAATAAAATAAATAAAATAAAATAAAAAAAGAAGAAGAAGAAGAAGAGACCTAATTTATGCAATTTTGAGCCACAAACCAAACATCATGTAAGTTTTATTTGATCTCTGGAAATAATGAGATAAAAAAATGTTAAAACTAATAGAAACATAGGAGCCAATGTAAAATTGATTAGTCTTGTGCTGTTTAGTATTTTTTATAGTGAAATTCCTTTAAAACAGTAGTATAAGGAGTCATTGTGAATTTACAAGCTCAAAAATACGTAATCACCAATACATAATCTGAATATATATATATATATATATATATATATATATATATATTTGATTCTGCATATAATCTGGTACCTCTTCTTTTGAGTGCTATTAGTTTTTAGAAGTTTCGCTTTTGTTGCATATGAGAATCAAGGAAGAACAGAGATTAAAAATAGCAGAACCCACTCCTGCTGTTTCCCATAGAGATTCAATGCTATGTCTTGCCGCTGCATCACTCATTTCTTAACCGGACCTGTTGAAGCACGGGTTGTGAAAACCCCTAAACACGAGGCAGATCACGGAGAAGCTCATGATGCTCAGAGGGAAAAACCTTGGATGTTGAAACCAAAAACCAGAGGATGATGAAATTAACTACTCTAATTTCAGCGTTGTGCTGATAAAATAAATGCATTTTTTCTATGCCAAACAGGCCCTTAGAGCCGTTGCACACCATTCTGGGCCAGTTTATTTTTACTATTTTAATAAAATAAAAAAATTGGAGCCCGCAAGCGCGATCACGGGCTGGGTCGCCAAATCCAATGACACATTCCACGACCCATCAAAATGAGCCCACCTTTCCACAGCAAAGAAGCTTGGGCTCGCCGAAATGGGGCTGCACTCATTGTTCCAGAAAATTTTGGTACACACAGTAATGAAGGGTCGGGTGTGCCTAATGAACGTTACAAGGCAACAAAATTTTTGTGTGATAAAAAAATTAAATAATAAAAAATATATATTGTAATGGATAAACGTGATTTACCCCAAACAAATAAATAATCATAATAACATTAATAGGACAAAACACAAATTTTAAACGTTTTTTGCGTTTTGTTTTTGGCTAAAACAGAAATAGTGTTTTCGCTGATAAAAAAAATTTAAAGCACATTTGAGAATTATGTTTTGCTGTGAGAATGTTGGGCCTGTGCTATTGTTATGGTTTTGGACCATGAATAGTTGTCAAAATATAAAAAAAATAACTTTTTATGTTTTGACTAAAACGCATGCCAAATGAATAAACTATCATTTACCCCAAACAGAGAAATAATCATAATGACATTAATAGGACAAACACTAATTAATTAAAACAAAAGACATATATTGTGTTTTTCTTTATTCTTTTTTCTTTATAGAACAAAAATATGTTACACGAAACGAAGGAAAACAAAAAAAAAAAAAAAACAAAAAAGCAAAAATCAAGCAGTTTTCTTGTTCATGTTAGTCACAAGCTGGCGCATCTGAAATCTCCAAAACAAGAAATAAACCATTCCCAACCCAATCAATACATACACCCAAACATGCTCTTCCCCACTCTCCTCCTCAGACTCTACCTCCACTATACTAAACTTCAATCTTTCCTTATTCCCCAATTCGCCCTCGTTCACGTACCCATATAACACATATACCCTGTCGTTCCCTCCCACCGCCACCGAAGTCGCAAAACCCTCCACGTCAAGGGCAGTCTCGTCATAAACCACGCCCTCGGACCAACTGCTGTCACTCTTCAAAAAGTAGAGCTTGTACTGGGACACCACCACTACCACGCCGTCACTTCTAACGGCGATTCCGTCCGCCAGCGTTAAGTCCTTGTTTAACAGAACCGTCCGCGCCTTTCCGTCATCGGCGTTGACTTTGAACAACTTGCCCGTGTTTGATTGGACCACGAGGAGGTAGCCCTTGCTGACGTAAGCGATGCCGTTGAGTCCGCAGAAACTATAGGGTGCGTCGCGGTCCACGGGATGGGACGTGAAGACCGGAGATCTGGAGAAGATGGTGGTATCTCCGTCGGGGCTGACCTTCCAGATGTAGTTGTCGGCTGCGTTGGTCACGAAGGCGTTGCCGGAGAAGTCGACGGCGACGTCGTTTGCGATGGGTCTGTCCGTGGTGGTGGTGGCGTTGGTGGGGTCGTCGAGTGGGGCGAGGAAGATGCGGGTGCGGGTGCGGAGGTCGTAGGCGGCGAGGGCGTTGAATACGGGGTGGGGTCGCGTCGCGTGGATGACGGCGAGGAGGCGGCGGTTGATGGAGTCGACGGTGAGGCCCAGGATAGTGGAGTGAGGTGGGAGGGTGGGGTCGTGGATTAAGGTGTCGACGACGGCGGCGTCGGAGACGGAGACGATAATTCGGTGGCTGAGGGAGCCGGCGACGAAGTGCTGGGCTGCTGGGTCCCACGCTAAGCCCTCCGGGTAGAGGTTGGGTGATCGGAAGTGTATGGCGTGGGATGTTCTGGCAAGGGTTGGGGGCACCAGGTTGGTGAAGAGGAAGATGGTGATAAAAATTAGGGCTTTTCTGAGAGTGATGAAAGACATCATTGTTATGATGAATTGATATATGATTGTAATTGTATCATATGTGTGTGTGTGTTTTTATAGGCGCAATTGGGGGATGAATCTATTTATTTTATGCTTTGTTTTTTTTTTTTTTTTTTTTTTTTTTCATTAAAAAACTTACTCTGTCATTAACTTTTCTTCAAAGAAAACATGGGGATTCATTGTTCCCCAAGTTTGAGGTTTTTTTTTTAAGATTCATAGTTACAACTTCTTTGACTAATTAATCGAGTACAAATTTTTGAATACTAGCAAAATTTCGAAAAAGTTTGATTATTTTGATAGTTTTATTATTTTTATGGAGAATAAAATGAGGTTTTGTTGATTCAGTTTAAGTTAGCAAAATTTTAAGAAAAAATAGGAATTTTTTGGGTATTTAAGAAGGAAAAAAAAATGTTTTCAGAGTTCTCAAATGCACCTGAAAAATAAGAATGTTGAGCATTGGTCCATTGGACACTGACACAAAAGGTAATTTAGTTGGAAGTTCCAGTATGGAGTCTTGTGGATTTTAAATAAGAATCTTAATCTCTTGAATGTCATTGCCCTTTTGAATATATAATTTTTTTTTAACCTGCCCTTTTGGATCAATTTGTGTGAAAGAAATGTAATTGAATCAATGTTTTGATTTGAATCCAACTCTGACTCCTAGGTTGTGATAATTAATGGAGCTTGGAAAATAAATAGTTTAGTGAAAGATTAAGAATGTAGAATTTGAAAGTTGATATGTGCGCTCTAAAATTATATTTAAATGTTTTATTTCTATATGTTCATGAATAAAATAACAAAATAATCTATTTCATTTTACTTACTCCTTTCTCTCTACTCCCCTCCATCTCACAGCCCTCTATTTCTCTATATACAAATATTTCCTCTTCCACGTAGCATTTGTCCCAATATTCTTAGAGTATGGAGGAATCTAACTTTTTATTGTATTGGTAAAAATGAAAATTTTAATTTATTTTTGTTGAAAGATAAAGAAGTACTTTGTAATTAGTGTAATCAATGTAAAAGAATAGTTTGTAAATGTTATAAAAAATAGTACATTCATTTCTTAAATAGACATGTATTTTGAGACATTTCAAAATAAAAAGAACAATATTACAATTAAAATTCAAGATTTGATCTTGAATCTAATGTGATAATAGCTAAAAAGATATTAATCCTCTATTTTAATACATATTAAACTTTATTTTTTTATTCATTTGTGTTTCCTATTTTAATAAACTAAACAAAATGTCAATTGAAGGAAAAGGAAAGAACGAACAATTACGCCACGTTTCTCTCTCTATCTCCATTTTACTTTTCTCTACTAATATTTTTTTATATTATATATACAAGTGTATATATATCATATGCACTCTCTATATATTTCAATTATTGTTGAGTATCTCTTTCAAATTTAACCTTAATCAGAAAATACCAAATCAAAATATAATAATAAGAAAAACTTTAAGTGAATTATGTAAATTAGGAATTCTTATTTACAAGAAAGATCAGAAGTCATTCATTCATGATAAAAAATTGTAACTTTTGGTTTTAATTATTTGACCATTTAATAGAAGGGAGTTCTTATTTACGAGAAATAGATCACTAATAAAAGATTGTAGCTTCCATTTTAATTATTTTAAAATTTAAAGTAAGAGTCTTCCAAACTAATTGAATTTATTAAGTTATACCAGGATTTGGATTCCATAATCATAAATTATGTTATATTTTTTTTCTTTACTATATTAAGATCTTTTCCTATATTAAAAAAAAAAAAAATACTTTTAAAACACACAAAGTAGCCAAATAATGATCTCGATCCCTTCTTAGGTGAAAATCACATGATGCTTAATAACGTTGACGTTTGGAGGCATAGTTGGCAGTCACTTAAAACTAATGAAGGCGGTATTTGCCCATTCAACAGAAAAGAACAATGTGTGATTATATATATATATGTATGTATGTATGTATGTATATGCTTTGATTTACAAGTATATTTGCGTGGATCTATTGATTCTTGCTCAAATTAGATTAATACATATGAGTTTAGATGCACAACCTTATGAAAATATATGCATTTATAAATATGGTGGTTGGTGAAAAAGGGGTGTGGTAAGAGGTTGAGAAATATGGTGGTTGGTGAAAAGGGGGGTGGCAAGAGGTTAAAAGGGGAGGGTTGATGGCCATCGTTAGAGGGTGGAGGTGGAAGAGGTAGAGATGGCCATGGTTAGAGGGTGAGGTTGTAAGAGGTGGAGAAAAGAAAATGCTTGAGTCCTACCCTATCAGGACAACTTTCATCCTTCTATATTATGTGGGCTAATAAAAATATGACAAGTGTCCAAAAATAATAATTAAACCCATTTTAAATCGGTTAGAAATCTAAGGACCCATCTAAATTCAACATCTCATCTTTATTTCTCTCTCCAATAAACACACTACTTTCTCTCTCTAGTAAACCCATCACCACTTTCTTTCGCTCTTCTTTTCTCTCTCCAGCATACCCATTGCTACCTCATCATAGTTCTCTGACTACTCTCTCTATATATACAACAACCTCATCACCACTTTTTCGATCTTTGGTGTGCCAAATACTTAACCTTCTCATTGTTTCTACCACAACCACCTCATCTGCCACCAGCGTCGAGGACTCTCCACCTTTGTATTGTTTAGTGGGTGCGCGGCTTTCTTTTCTGATTCGGATAACCAAGTCAGATGTGACATATTTTTGTTTGATTTGAAGAGAAATAGATTGAAGGATTTTAGGTTTTGAGAGGGTTTAGGGTGAACGAGAAATCCAGAGAGGGTTTAGGGTGAATGAGAAATCTAGAGAGAAAAAAAGAATAAGGGGTATGAGTTGTACGCAACGGAATATTTAGAAAGTTTTATATTTTTAGAAACAAATTTGTATCTTTCTAATCTTTACTTATTTTAGCAATTAAATAATTAATCATATGCAAGATAAAATAAAGCAAAGTAAGAGTTAGAGATGACACCAAGATTTTTAGCGAGGAAACCCCAGTTGATAAAATAGATTAACTATTTGCGTGGGAAAAACCTCGTGGACTGTGCAGTCCAAAGTAAACCGATCTACTATGTTTGAAATAAAGTACACTGAACTTTGACTTAGACTCAAACCTTATCGTTCTACTAAACACCAATTGTTGACAATCCTTTGACTTTGCGACGTCCCGTCCAACAGCACTTGACCTCAGGCTTATTCTTAATCTCTGTAGAAAGGTTGCAGGTAGATCAAACAACACTCCTCGAATGCTTTGACCCTTTCAAAGTGTGATCGCTTTTACTTTTGTTCTTCAATATCTGAATTCGATGTAGAAGTATATCTGTTTTTCTCTAATGGTTGTAGATGCAACACGATCAGGATTTGAACAACACTCTAAACTCACCATGTGTTTATGTGTATGTTCTAGAAAGACTGACTGAGAAATCAAATTGGATTTTCTGCAAAAATAATCTTCCTAAGGTTTTTATGAATAATGAAATTGTAATGTAAAAGCTGTACTAAACCTAGATGTATATCAGGGTTTATATAGGATTTTCAAAGACCTAATCCTTCAAAAAATAAAGAAAAATTCGTGCATAGGACTTTTGGTATAATTCTAAACCAATTAGGAAGTTGAACCAAGACAGGATAAAGTTACCTTAAACTGAAACAGCTGTGGTACCGGTAGCCAATGTGTGGAACCGGTTCCTATTAGACAGAACGATGTTCTTCAAATCCTTTGTTCTTGAACAGGTTCCCAAATGTTGGTGTAATACCCCTGATTTCAAAAAGATAGTCCTGGTATTTATTAAATTGTTTAAATTGCATTTATTTTTATTTAATTGTTTATTTTTTTTTTTTTTATTTAACTGACCTTTTGTTTTAATTTGTATTAATTGTTGACGTGATCATGTGTTAATTGTAATTGTTTTCATTGTGGTGATTTAATGGTCTTTAATTATTTACTTGTTTTAATTGAATTGAATAAATTATAGATAATTATTTAACTGATGTAATTTAGTTATTTTAATTAAATTAAGTTAATTAAATTTAATTATTTTTAACGTGACTGTATGGAGGCACACATATAGTTATATTAAGGTTTTATTTACACGGATGTAGCCAACTTAGGATTGGTTTTGTATTAGAATTAGGATTGGGTTGAAGCCTATAAATACAGTATTATACGTTGGTTTAGGGTTACAAAACCAAACCCTATTCACTGATACTTATACCGTGAGATAGAGAGATACAGAGAATGGAAACTAGGACGTTATCGGAGAGGTTTAAGGATACACTGGACGGAGTGCTTCTGGGTTGAACCAAGAGCACCTGAGGTGTAGAACAGGAGTCTCAGACGTGGACAGAAGTTTCAAAGACAATGGTTTAGAGTTTCAAAATTGAAACTCAAGGCAAGTCACTATTCTATTCATTCCCTTTAATTCGTGTTCTGTGCATGCTAGTTAGACTCCAAGGATTTAAATAAAGGTTAAAACAGTGGTAAACAAACATAATAACATGTTTTATGCATATCAGAATATTTGTTTAACCTCGTGAATTAACTACTTTGCATAATCGTTGAGTTTTCTAGTACTTGTTTCTTATGAGGTTTATGATTAAACGTTGTTTTAATTGAGATTAGTAATCCAGTTGGATGCCTTGTAATTAATCTGGGACTGAGTTTGAACTCTAGAACAAGTGCTTAGAACAGTCTTTAATTATACTAAAGTAATCTGCATTAAGTTTGTGATGATTTGCTTAAAAGGTTTCTAACGGTGGTTCTGTAAGCGTGGTTTTAAAACTTGTGTTACTATGCATGTTTATATTAGATCTCAGTGGTTTAAATTTATCTAGGACTAAGATTGAACCTAGATAGAGAATTAAAACATATTACAGAGGCTCTGTTAGTCACCGGAGTTGGAGACGACAAACAAAAACGGACGACGGCTCTCAAAGGAAGAGAGCCGGCTCACCAAAAGAGGGAGCCGGCTCTAGGGCTTGAGGAGCCGGCTCCACAAGGGTGTAGAGCCAGCTCTACAAGGGGTAGAGCCTGCTCCACATGAAGTGGAGGCGGCTCCAC